GGTGAAATTGCCAACTTTTCAGCATATGCCTTCGCTCCAGCAATTCTTGTCACTCCATTGGGAGCTTTAAGTGTGTTGGTGAGGTAGGTTCATGTTGATAGCCAAAGCTAATTTCTGGATATGAATAAACAATGAGCTCTTTTTTGGAGGGAAATATGATCCGGTGTTTGTCCGGCATAATCTGTTCTGAAAGGCAAATAGTTTTCTGAGAGTTTCTGAGAGTGAAGCTCAACGAATCAACTGTGAGTATTGAGGAAAGAAACATGTCAGATCATAGTACCACATATCTTATATGCAAACTGTGCAGGAGTGCCCTATTAAAGAACAAAATCTTCTGGTTTCTTAGACAGCTTGCCAAATCTTCTATGCCCAGTAATCTAAAGAGCAGGTAATGCTAGCCCATGGATCAATTGCTATCCAGCAGATCAAAGTTAACAAAATGTGTTGCGCTATCCAGTGGGTAGATATTTATCCATCCTTCCAAGAACAGGAGACTGGTTTTTCTCTTAGTTTTTCAAGTCCTCCGGACAGTTTGCTTAGTCTGCTGAATGAAAGTTGATTTTTGAATGAAGAGAAATCTTGTGAATTTATGAGAGTCAATTAAAACAGAAATATATCGTTTGCATTTTTGTAAATTTCCTGTAACCTGTTTGTGTCACAGAAAACAAGCCATTCAAGTAAGAGAAATCCTAGCTGTACAATCACACTAATCCTCTGGTTCATCACAGCAGTTTGTACATTCTCCATATTGTTCTTTATATATTTCCAGTAGTATGACAAGGAGAATGTTTCTCACAATTGAGAGCTTCTTAAGATTGAGATAATTTCCTCAATTCTAACAACTCAAGTGTTTGATTCAGCAGTGTATTGTTCAAAGACATTACATGTACATGCTAATTATCCCTGGTGGTAAAAGGGGAAATCAGCATGTAGATTTTTGCTGTTTGTTTTAAGTGTCCTTATCAACAGTAACAACTAGTTGTGTGTTAGGTGTTTATTATGGAGTCCCATTGGGGCCAAAATTCAACATTGTGATTTGACATTGTACTTTTAGTATTCTTCCTTATTTCGCGATTGGACATTCAAGTTTTTATTCCTTATGAAACTTTTTCCGATTCAACATTGTCTTTTCTACAATTAAACTTCCAAGTTTGAAGTAATAAACATTGTACTTCTCGTAATTCCACTTTGTAGTCGTGGCAATGCAATATTTTTGTACTTATGGTTTTGATATATTCAACATGCAGTACTTCACGCTATTCAACATTAAACTTTCCATCATCCAACCGCAACCCAGCTACTAACAAAGGAGCGCAGGCTCACTAAGGTCAAGTACCTCATGTAAGCCTCATAACTTCGTACGAGGTTATCTTGTGAGATGAAAAATGGACGATATCTCGTATTTGCTGGACTGTGTTCATAATATCCTAG